ATGTGAGATAGCAACACGTGGCGGTAGAGGTGAGGTGGTAGGGACACGTGGAGATGAGGTGGCAACGACACGTGATGGAAAAGGTGAGGTGGCACTGACACGTGGTGACATGTGGCAGCCAAGGTGAGTGGCATTTTAATTTTTTTAAAAAAATATATTAGCGACGGAATCGGGAATTCTATCGCTACTTACTGACGGAATCAGAATTCCGTCGGTAATTAGAGACAGAAAAATTCCGTCAATGATTAACGACGGAATTTCAATTCCATCACTAACGGAATTTCAATTCCGTCGGTAATCCAATTAGTGACGAAAAAATTAGTGACAGAACCAATTCCGTTGCTAATTCTGTCGGTAATTTGATTCCGTCACTAATCCGTCGCTAATTCTGTCGCTAAATAAAAATTCCGTCGGTAAATTTCGTTGCTAATCAGATGTTTTTTGGTAGTGGGAGCATTTGGAGTATTTTTTATAGGTGTCATTACAGTTCTTTATTTGAACCCTTACATTTGCAATTACAAACTACTCCTATTAGAGAGAGTTATAACAAGTTATTTGTATGAGTGTTGGCGAAAAAGAAAAAGGTTTTAATTATAGTTCATAAGATTCTGATCATGTAATAGATGGCCTGGTGATCATCTCTAGAATTACAATAACCAAAAGATGGCTGGTTCCATGTCTTCTCATGATCAGAAAGAAAACTAAATTGAAATATTCGAATCATTACTTCTGATGTGTGTGTATAGCTTAGCAATATCCTTCTCAAAATCCTTCATTATCATCTCTATTTCGTCTCTGCCTTTCTGTTCCTATCGTTCATAAGATAATCAACTTCGTCAATATTTTTTAACCATGAATTACCACCATCCACAAGAACCTCCTGCTATGTTTACTGTTATATGTATATCATATATAGTTTGCGATCAAAATACTGTCTTGCCAAATGCAGTTTAGGTGATGATTCCTTCAAGTTTCTTCACAGTTTGCTCCATATCTGAGCATTAACTATAGATGCATGAGATTAACAATACTAATTAGTGATGTTATGTTTACCGATGATTTCATATTCACCTCCAATGGGGTATCCCTCCATTGATGCTTCTTCTATTAGGGACGGTGAGATTGCAAGTCAACATCAAAATCTCTCTGTTTTTAATTTGCTTTTACGAACTCTTATTGGTTTCTTAGTTTCTCTTCAGATCAGTTCCTAATATGTGCATTGTTCTGTCCCCTTTTTAGATTTTCTTAGTTGCAGTTGTGCAGCTCTGTGCTGCTGTTTTTTTTTTTTTTGGATTATTGCTATGTTGAGTCCTACAATAATTTTTATCAACTATGTGTTGCTCTCATATCTTGCTGTTCTTCCCCTTACTTATGTTATTCCCATTTTGGGAGAGAATAAAAAAAATATGAGAGACGCTCTTCAAAAAATACTGTAATTCTTTCACATCTCTAAACAAGTACACGCTTGCATAAAGTGTAATGGCAACTAAAATGTTTAAAGATACCTTACAACAACTTTTGTCGCACGGTCCATGATTAAACTATAAAATCAAGAATAAACAGACTCCAAAACCAATGAACAAGACCAAAAAAATTGAGTGGATATAATTTTTTTATTTGGCTAGCCGTTCCCATGTTCGACCTCACATATCAGTATATTTTCTCGAACTTTTGTTGTTGTATTATTCTTGGTACATAGGAGTCTTTGGCTAATCAAATTCAAAACCGCCAATCCGGTTTAGATTAATCCAATGAGTTATTATCCTAATAATTAACAATAACTGATTAAGACTCAATTTAGTGCTAAACACAGATAAATGTATAGAAAACTTTAAAGTATAGACGTATAGTTTACTTGCTGCACAGCAATCTCAGTCTAGGATAGAGTCTGGCTTTCCAGGTTCCCTTTGATAGATGGGGGCATAGTTTGGTTGATTGTGCAGAAATGTCAAAAGCACATGTACTGAGATATGTGTATGGATACTTAGCCATCCGAGACTTGAGATGCAGGATAGGATGTAGGGTAGATTCACAATTCGTTCAACAAGGAACTACGCTAATTAAATTACTCTCACAACTTGCCTCTTTTTAACTTTATGATAAATATCATTCTTGCTGATAGGTTTGATTAGAAATTAGTGTGAATGTGTACAGGTACTTGGCCGTTTGTGCAGAAGTTAAGGCACATACACTGACTTTTATTAGTCATGATAAGAATACAAAGCTTGTTGTCAGCATCAGAAAACGAGAGCTTATATAAGCCCTATCGTGCATTCTGAGGAGGGAATTTTTACCTCTTTCTAATTCATCAGATTAAACGAATATTGATAGTTTGTGGAACTTCGATTGCGACTTTTGTTTTGGGGGAAGAACTGATCATTAAGTCCTGTACTATATACTGATTTTCGAATAAATCCTTACAATTGAAATTATTGCAAGGCATGCACACACCATATCACTTCATTGATTCTCTCACACATATCTTTGTCCTACTCATTCTCTCTGTCATTCGCTCTTTCTCTCCAAAAATATGGGTTTTATTTTTGAAGAAAAATATATTTGTACACATTTGTTACCTTTAATCAATTTTAACCACCTTTATAATCAGCATAATTCGATTATTTGTACGATATAGACAGCATCAGAGGGAGTAAAATCGTGTATGAAACTTCAGGGTCTTGATTGATAAAAATTAACTTTCATGAACTAAATTGATCTAAATTGACAATGGAGACAAACTTGAGTACCAAAAATTTCCTAGCCTTATTTGTTTTTAAAATACAACCAAGTAAGATATTTTAGGATGTGAGATACTTTTTCTTTTTCCCGCCAGCAGAATGTGAGATGCTAAATATTGATCTATGTTTTAGATATTTTTTTTAAAAAAATCAAATTACTAAACGGCTTATTTATTTCTTGGACATATAGAAGGGCCCAAAGGCAGCCCAAAATAAACTTAACAAACATCACATCAAAAATTAATTGTATAAATTATTTTTATAATTCTTTTTACCTCTAATATTCATTGTAACAATTGATCACATCTTGATTGTAGGACAGGGCTGTTGGGTGATATCAGACTGCCGAACTTGGAAGTGTTGAGTTTACAAAATAATATGCTCACAGAATTCCCACATTTTGGTGCTAAATCTCTATCTTCTATCTTCTTTATTTTAAGTGACATATGTGATAATTACTGTTGATCTATTTTTAGAAAAGATTCCCACGGTTTAAAAAAAATGCTAGAAGAAATATACAGACGACTTTTTTTTCTCTATTGAATATATGAAAGTTTCCATTTTTTTGGATTTTGTTGGGAAGTTGATATTAGATTTACTAAAATTACTCATGTATTTATCTTGTCATATAATCATCCCAACTAAAGAATTTATGTATCTTCATATAGAGAATTGAATGAATTGTCAAACTTGGCAGATTCATGGTCAATAAATTGTAACAACCCACACACACACACACATATATACACACACACACTCAATAATTTGAAGGAGCTGTGGCTTAACGCACACATGTATTTCCATTTGGCATTTGACAGACCTTTCTCATTCACGTAATCTGAAGGAGTTGTCACTTGATGCTAATTACTTGGATGGCAGTATTCCAGAATCTATTACGTCTCTTACTTCCCTCACCCAATTGGGGAACAACCTGACTGGATCATTGCCACAAGAAGGTACGGTTCATATTTTGTAGCATTAAATAACTGAGTTATTCCGTGAATAATGTTAGATTTCTTAAATACTAGCATATTAAATTTAATTTTCAATACAGCCATGATTGTTACAAAAAAAATTATCATTTAAGGTTAAGATTTTTATGATGAAAGGATAAAAATATACTTTTTACAATTAAAAGACCAAATTAAAATATTATATTAAATCAAAAAGAGCAAATGTATATTTTTGTTTTTATTTATTTTTAATACTAATAAGTGATCCTGCATTCAGGTATTTACTGTTAGTTTACTTGCATTCTTGGGCTTCATGTTAAGGCTTTTTCTGGGGCAAAATTTTAATTTAAATACACTTCTTAATTCGTACGTACTAACAAATTAATTTAGCCTACGTAAACCCTTTGTTGGAAAATATAGTTTAATCTCAAAGTCCAAAGCTTTACGCTATTACTTCTAGTTTTATAATGTTTTTTACGGGCGGACTGATTAAATCATTTTAATAAATAAAAATGGTATATCGCAGGAGGCCTTTGCAATATGAAGAATCTTGCATTATTGGATCTTTCCATGAATGAAATTGAGGGGCAGCTTCCTGCATGCCTTGGTAATTTGACTTTTCTATCTACCCTTTATCTTAGGGAAAATCGTTTTGAAAGAATATTTCCTTCCTCACTCTTTCATTCTTTGAGGTCTCTAATAGCTCTTTTTCTTTCCGATGACAATTTCAACGGCTTATTTTCACTCTCTTCGCTTGCCAACAACTCCAACCTCAAAATCTTTTCCATTTCATGCTCTAACGCCAATCTCAAGCTTGAAACTGAGAATCCCCCATTTATCCCTTCCTTCCAGTTGAGGACTTTCAAAATTGACAACTGCACTTTTAATGAGGCTAACAATAACAAAATGCCTACCTTTCTACTTCATCAATATGACTTGCTAGATCTAGAACTTACCAACACGAACGTTTCAGGGGCCTTCCCATCCTGGCTTTTAACAAATAACATAGGCTTAAATATTTTCAGTTTGACTCATAACTTGTTCACTGGTCCCTTTGAACTCAATTCCACCTCCAAATTGCTTCAAATGGAGTCTTTTAATATTTCATCAAACCCCATCAGAGATGAAATCCCTCCTCATATTGGCTTCATTTTTCCCAACTTGATTTCTCTTGACATGTCTTCAACTTCATTGCAAGGTCCCTTTCCAGCTTCAATAGGTGAAATGAGACAATTGAATGATCTTGACTTGTCAAATAATAGTTTATATGGTTATTTGCCCCAAGAATTCAGTCATGGTAACAATGAAGTGAGGTTTTTGAAGTTGTCAAACAACAACCTCAGTGGCCCGTGCTTACCTGTAGGATCAAATTTCACATATTTGTTGTTTTTGGACCTTAGCAACAATAACTACAAAGGAAAGCTTGAAGGTGGAGTTATGAATAGTACTGAGTGAAGAATGTTGGATATAAGCACCAACCAATTATATGGTGAAATGCCTAGCTGGATCGGAAATTTTCAACATTTGAGCTACCTTATATTGTCAAGGAATTATTTAATAGGTCCACTGCCAAAAAGCTTTTGCAGCTTGATGGAACTTACATATGTAGACCTTTCTTACAATAAATTCAATGGCTCTTTGCCAGGTTGTTTGAATATGCCATTTTTGAAGTACTTGCATTTGCAGAGCAACCATTTCATGGGACCTCTACCTTCCACTTTAGCCAATTCCGCTTTATTGTCGATTCTGGATTTGATGAATAACAATTTTTCTGATCAAATTCCAAGATTGATTGGCTCATTTTTGAGTTTAAGGGTCCTCACGTTAAAAGAAAACAAACTTGAAGGCTCTATTCCTACTAGTTTATGTGAGCTCAAGAATATCAGGTTATTAGATCTTTCTCAAAATAAGCTTTCTGGAGGCATCCCATATTGCTTGAATAACATCACATTTGGGAAGACACATGCACTAAGGGAAAACGAAATAGGACATTTTACTGTGTCATGGACTACAAGATTTTCAAATTATGAATTTGACCCTCTAACCGGTGAAGTTTTCATACCAGAAGGAAAACAAAATGTTACATTGTATAAGGACCAAGAAGTAGATTTTACAACAAAAAACAGGTATGAATCTTACAAAGGAAGCATTTTAAATTTCATGTCTGGCTTGGATCTCTCAAATAATCAATTGGTAGGCAAAATTCCTTCACAAATTGGATACTTAGATGCCATCCATGCATTAAATTTGTCAAACAATCGATTGAAAGGGCCTATTCCAAAAACATTTTCCAACCTCAAGCAAATAGAAAGCCTTGATCTTTCCCACAACAAATTGACAGGTCACATTCCTACACAACTAACCCAGCTGTACTCCTTGTCTTCCTTCTCAGTGGCTGAGAATAATCTATCTGGAACGACACCTGACATGAAAAATCAACTTGCAACTTTTGATTCAGCTAGTTATGAAGGGAACCCTTTCCTATGTGGCCCCCCTTTGCTGCAAAATTGCTCAATAACAGGGCGAAAGAGGCAACCTCATCATTTGGAAGCAAATGATTTTCGAGATGCTTTTTTATGGGGTTTCGCCAGAGCATTTGGAGTCTTTTTTATAGGTGTCATTATAGTTCTTTATTTGAACCCTTATATTTGCAATTACAAACTACTTCTATTAGAGAGAGTTATAACAAGTTATTTGTATGAGTGTTGGTGAAAAAGAAAAGGGTTTTAATTATAGTTCATAAGATTCTGATCATGTAACAGATGGCCTAGTGATCATCTCTAGAATTACAATAACGAAAAGACGGCTGGATCCAAGTCTTCTCATGATTAGAAAGAAAACTAAATTGAAATATTCGATTCATTACTTCTGATGTGTGTGTATAGCTTAGCAATCTCTTTCTCAAAATCCTTCATTATTATCTCTATTTGGTCTCTGCCTTTTTTATCCTATCGTTCATAAGATAATCAACTTCATCAATATTTTTTAACCATGAATTACCACCATCCACAAGAACGTCCTCTTATGTTTACTGTTATGTGTATATCATATACGGTTTGTGATCAAAATACTGTCTTGCCAAACGCAGTTTAAGTGATGATTCCTTCAAGCTTCTTCATAGTTTGCCCTGCATCTGACCATTAACTATAGGTGCATGAGATTAATAATACTAATTAGTGATGTTACCGGTGATTTCATATTCACCACCAATGGGGTATCCCTCCAGTGATGCTTCTTCTGGGAGGGACGGTGAGATCACAAGTCATCATCAAAATCTCTCTGTTTTTAATTTGCTTTTATGAACTCTTATTGCTTTCTTAATTTCTCTTCAGATCAGTTCCTAATATGTGCATTGTTTGTCCCTTTTTTTGATTTTCTTAATTGCAGTTGTGCTGTGCAGCTCAGTGCTGCTGTTTTTTTTTTTCCTGGATTATTGCTATGTAGAGTCCCACAATATTTTTTTTTTCAACTCTGTGCTGCTCTCATACCTTGCTGTTCTTCCCCTTATGTTATTCCCATTTTGGGAGAGGATACAAAAAATATGAGACACGACTCTTCAAAAAATACTGTAATTCTTTCATATCCTTAAACATGTACAGGCTCGCATAACAACATGTAATCACAACTAAAATGTTTAAAGATACATTACAACAACTTTTATCACGCTGTCCATGATTAAACTATAAAATCAAGAACAAACAGAGTCCAAAACCAATGAACAAGACCAAAAAAATTGAGTGGATATATTTCTTTTTATTTGGCTAGCCGTTCGCACGTTCGACCTCATATATCATTTATATATTTTCCCAACTTTTGTTTGTTGTATGATTCTTGATGCATAGGAGTCTTTGGCTAACAAAATTCAAAACCGGCAATTCGGTTTAGATTAATCCAATGAGTTATTATCCTACTAATTAGCCATAACTGATTGACTAAGGCTCAATTTTAATGCTAAACACAGATAAACGTATAGAAAACTTTAGAGTTTAGACGTATAATTTACTTGCTGCACAGCAATCTCAGTCTAGGATAGAGTCTGGCTTTCCAAGTTTCCTTTGATGGATGGGGGCATAATTTGTTTGATTGTGCAGAAATGTCAAAAGCACATGCACTGAGATTGTGTACGGATACTTAGCCATCCGAGACTTGAGATGTAGGACAGGAGTTGTAGGGTAGATTCCCGACTCATTCAACAAGGAACTACATTAATTAAATTCCTCTCACAACTTGTCTCTTTTTAACTTTATGATAAATATCATTCTTGCTGATAGGTTCGATTAGAAATTAGTGTGCACGTGTACAAGTACTTAGCCGTTTGTTCAGAAGTTAAGGCACATGCACTAACTTTTATTAGTTGTGATAAGAATAAAAAGCTTGTCGTCAGCATCAAAAAACGAGAGCTTATATAAGCCCCATCGTGCATTCTGGGGAGGGAATTTTTACCTCTTTCTTCATCAGACTAAATGAATATTGATAGTTTGTGGAACTTTGATTGCGATTTTCGTTCTTGGGGCAAGAACTTTGATAACCTCTATTCCATTTCTCCACAAATAAGACCATTTGAGTTTTGGAACATAATGCCCAACTTGAGTCTCTCAGGCAAAGAAAGGGCAAAATAGTCTCCTTACATACTTCCTTTATATCTATATATGAACAGCACGCAGTTGAAGACATGCATTGAGGAAGCATATGGTGAAAAATGGGGCATTTAGTGAGAGAAGAGGTGTGGTCGGTGATGGCCATAATCAAATTCATATTTCTATTTTAATGGAGGCACTTGGGGGTGCTTGAAAGAAGAAAGAGAAGCTCTTCTGAAATTGAAAGAAGCTTTTAATTATCCAAATGGCTTTTATCTTCCTTCTTGGAACAATCAAACCTTCTCTTATAGCTGCAAATGGGAGTCTGTACAGTGTGACAACTCCACTCATGGAGTCATAAGCCTTCTTCTGAACAATACAAGAGCCGAAGAGATGAGACACATCAAATGGTCACTCAATGCTTCTTCTTTTCTCCCTTTCCACCACCTTCAATTATTGGATTTAAACGGGAATTACTTATCAGGTCACCCTCTTTCTTTTAACTATTTTATCATTCATGCAGACACACACAGAGCCAGCATATTACATTGACATGCATTGTTAATTAAGACTGATATTTTTATAAGCCTGTCAAACTGTGATATTTTAATCACAAAAAAATAATCAAAAGATGTAAAAGCACATTAGTTACAATGAAAAATTGGTAAAAAATTATGACCGTATCAATAATTGTCTGATATCTCTTCTTTTTTCTTAGTTTCCTCTTTAAGCCAGCAGATCTGCCAAGGTATAAGACCATATTCTAGTTAAATATAGATAATTTTCTTTTGCCTTTCTCTACCTGGTCGTCTAGTTCAATGATTGGACTTATAATGTAGCGTTGTATAGTAGTTCACTATAAGTTGAAGGGTCAAATAAAATAACTTATTAAATGAAACAGCAAATGTTAACGTGAGAGTACATTTGCTCATACACTTGCAATGACAAATTTTTATTAATATGCTTACTCTTGTTGTGTCCTTTGAGTATATAAACAGAGAGAATGTAGCGTTGTATAGTAGTTCACTATAAGTTGAAGGGTCAAATAAAATAACTTATTAAATGAAACAGCAAATGTTAACGTGAAAGTACATTTGCTTATACACTTGCAATGACAAATTTTTATTAATATGCTTACTCTTGTTGTGTCCTTTGAGTATATAAACAGAGAGAAACAGAACAAGAAGCAGCCTTATATAAAGGCTATTCACATTCATCTTTCTTCACCACGAGTTTTCACAATGTTATTCGAACCTTCCATTAAGCTACCTTGGCCGCCGCCGCCACCAACCTATATATATGTATTTGTAGGCGTATAACTTAGCAATCTCCTTCTCAAAATCCTTCGTTATCATATATCAATTTCGTCTCTGCCTCTTTGTTCCTATCATCAATATTTATTTATGAACATTGCTTTCCGGATTTACTTATAACGCCTAAATCACCTTAGCATGTTGAAGTTGGTTCATACATTTAAGCATGTCTCCACGTACAGTGTAATCAAACCCAATTTTAGCACCTAATATACAACAGACTGTAACTGATAATGTAAATCTTCGAAGATTCAGTAACAATATGGGCTGGTCTTACCCACAAAAATTAACTGATTTTTTTTTTTTGGGGTTTCTCTTCTTTCTTTTTGTTTTTTATTTCTTTATTTTTTTTGTTAAATAATCCCTGCAAAATCACAGCCAAAAATATGGGTTGGTCAATCAAAACTTTATCGCATTCATTTGGTGGACCCCTACGAATAAAGCTCCTCGCCGAATGATTCCTCTCTTGTCCGCATCTTTGGTTCTCATTTCAAATGGTGAAGGCACAGTTGATAATATTGTCCACTTTAAGAGGGAAGCACGGAGCATTAAGCAACCTTAGCATTGGAAAGGTCGATCCCTTCCCCGACTCTGCCTTCTCCCACGCGCTTTGATACTGTTCATAGCAGTCCACCATTCACGCACCTGTACCTACATATATGTATATATATGCATTCCATATAGCATTTCAATCTCATCTCATTTTCGGGTCTACCTGTATCTTCATTTAGTTCATAAAATCATCGTCAACTTCAGTATTATTTAGCAATCATGAATCTCCATTACAATCAGCAAGATCCTCCCGGTAAGTTCTCTCTTTCACAAGAAGCTCCTACTCTAACATATCATTATACTGTGTTTGTAAAGGGTCATAGATTCTAGTCACACCCGGAATAGAGGATTGACAAGTGTTCGATTTCTTCTTCTTTTTTTTAATTGTTTAAAGAGATTCATTTCATACATATTAACTTTATTCTTGGGGTTCACCGGCCCTTGACCATATTGCCTCACTGTTTGGTTGGCTGTGGCTCAGTTTTCAGGTCTTGGTTGGTTTCACTGAGATAATCGTACAGTGTTTATTTTTTACGATGAATATGTCTGAGAAAATAACATCCACACCAACGACATGATCATGATCTCCTATCGAAAATATATATGCAATTGGTGGGAATTGCAAT